ATTATTAACAATACTTTCAAATCTCATATTTTGATAAAAATTTACACATTTTATCAAAGAATATACGAAATCAATGGATGACATAAAAGTTATAAATTTATTACAGGAACAAGTGAGTACTGGCATTAATTATATATATAAATATAAGCATGTTCATTATATTAATTGTGTTTAATTGAGATAATGTTAGACATTTTTGGGAAGTTTCCTTTAATATATCTCAAAATATAAAATATAAATCTCGTTAGATATAAATCTCATAGATATAAAATTGTTAAGTATCAAGTATAAATAAAATTTTTAAAAAATATAATTGAATACAAAAATAAATGTTACATAGATTTTGCTCCAACATGCTTGACCTTCATCTTACTACTAACATCTGTAACAAAATGCACCAAAAATAACTGATCCCTCAAACAATTCAATCGATATCTACTTAACTACTCATAACCTACAGCTACTGCTCCTCTCATGTGAAACAATGCAACAGAATATTCTTTAATACAGAATAATAATGGTTTGTATTGTTTTTTATAACCATTACTCTCTTTATGTTCTAACAATTTGTTGAATATACTGTACATTTGTTATGTAATGTCCAGTAAAGCCTGTATACAAAGCGATAAAACCTCTTGTGAAAAATATCCACAAAATTGTTATTATCACAGAATACAGTATAGCTATAAAAGTGGTTAAAATAACAGTTATTATTTGACACATAAATACCAATTATTTTTTTCATCAAATATATAACTATTTAGATATAAATTTTTGCAATTCAAACGAAATAAATGTCTATTTCTTTGGTTTACTTTTTCCAGTCATGAGAGATGTCTTTGAGAGATGAAAGAGTGAATTACATAAATGTATGTTTACTGTGTATAATGTTTTACATATGATGTGCTAAACGATTATGTATTTCAGTTTCTATATTGATTTAATGTCACATTACATATAATTCACGACATACTGTATATAAAGATGCGGTAAATTGTTTGAGAAAATTGATAACAATAATAACACAATTTCAAAAACACAAAATGCAATACTTGGTAAATTGTAAGTATAAATTGCTTAAAAATTTATAAGTATTCAAATATCTGGTATATATTTCAATAAGCGACTTATTGTCATAAAATATATGACCGCTCATTTAATACTTAATTTGATTAATTATAATATTTAATGAATAATTATATAGATTTTGTTCAGAAAATATACTCTTTATTAGGTTTATAGTGAACTAATTAAATTTTTAAAATATAACTTTTGTAAACATGGTTAAGTTTTAAATTGCTCTATAATGGCCCAACTCCTGGCGCCCTGGCCTCTACATTATATTCATAATAATTAAAAGTAAATCACTTCATATGAATCATAATTGTATTACAATAGCGTTAGTTATCATTATTTGGAAGAACCATAAATTAATTCATTGTTTTGCGATAAAGTGTTGTGCGAATAGTCTATGAGATAAATACATTCCTTGTTTGGATTTATTTTAATAAAACATTATTTTATTTTCTAAATAATAAATATTTTTACAATTATATTACAACATAAAATTCCTGTCGATAATTAAAACTCAAAATTTAATCTGAATTTTGTGTAAATGATTGGCAAAATATTTTTAAGATTCAATGATTTGCCGTACTTTCACATCATATGTGACAACCAAATAGTTTTTACAATAAACAAAAATACAATTCATAATTATATAATTAATTGTTTTTATTAAAACTACTAATTACTTGATATATGCTGTAGATTCTTGTAAACATAACCTGTTAATTGTATACTTTGAGATATGGCTATAAAACAGTAATAATAATAATAACTAACATTTTCTGTTTGATATAAATCTGTGTAAAAAGAGATCAAAACTCTTGTATCTCAACAATATATTCATCAAATAATATCTGTTTATATGCAGTAAATATTAAAAGCAATGAAAATTGTTATCAGAGAAAAAATTGTTTTATATTATTTTATTTTACTTTTTTATTACATCGTTTAATGAATCGCTTTGTGTTTAATTAATATCGTTTTCATTTCAATTTTTTACATTTTACTTAAAATGTACTCAATTTATAATAAATTTTGTGCTAAATAATAATTATTTGTATTTTAAAACTATTTATTTCAATAATGAGTATTTACTTTCCAAACATATTGACTAAATAGACATTTGATTTGTTTAATGAGAAAGATTTCGTTTGTGTTTTCAAAGTCAATAATTTAGTTCCTTATTGTTTTCAATGAGTTTTTCTCTGTTATAAAACTTAAAGTTTGTGTCAATTTTAAAGCCAATTCATAGACTACGGGTGCGATGGCTAAGAGAAACGGCAAACCCGCGAATCTGAACCTAAATGACAAACAGCCGCCGATATCACCACAAATAGCCCGCATAAGGACTCTGGAGTCAATCGGATCCGTGCCCTCCACGCCATCCCTAAATGTCAACCGTTTGGCATACAATGTCTCGGAGTTTAACAAAGACTTTGTGCCGATTCCCACCTCCAGGGAGGAGAAGATCCAGAAGTTTAAGCCCGATGTGTCCCGAAAGGCGTGGATCCGCCGATTGCGGGGCATATTTCCCATCACTCTATGGCTCCCGGAGTATAACTATCGGGAAAATCTGTTGACCGATATATTGGTGGGCATTACTGTTGCCATATTTCAAGTGCCGCAAAGTGAGTGATCATTGAACACACGCTAATTCATAACTAAACGTATGATAATTATAACTATTATTTGTCTATGTATTAGGTATGGGTTACTGTTTGATAGCACACGTGCCCCCGACCTATGGCCTATACTCGGCTTTTTTCCCGGCCCTCTTCTACACCATCTTTGGCACCGGCTATCACTGCGCGTTCGGTCCCTTTGCGCTCGTGTCCGGTGTTATGACCGGCGATATTGTCACACAAGTGATGACCGAATTGGGCAAAGATGTGACCGCAGGTAATGTAGAGAAAGGCACCAAATTATCAAGTGTTGTGTCGGATACCATCGGTACGACACTGGCGTCCGCAGACCAGTGGCACGACTTGGTTAACATAGACATCGCTATTATGGTGGCAATGATTATCGGTATCTACATCTTGGGCTTCGGTATCCTTCAGTTGGGTTTCATATCAAACTTTATGTCCGAAGAGTTGATCAGCGGTTTCACCACTTCTGCCTCCATTATAGTGTTTGTCTCACAACTCGCATATCTATTGGGTGTTGACTATAAACACTTTGCCGGACCCTTTAATCTGTACTACACTCTCGAGGAGGTGTTCACGAGGCTGAATGAGGTCAATCTGACCACTCTGGTCATCACATGTGTCTGTTTGTCGATATTATTGTTTTTCAAACTAGTGGTCAACCCATACACACAGAAGACTCGGGTGAAGACCCCCTTTCCCATCGAGTTATGTGTTGTGATCGGAGGCACTATTGTCTCGCATTTTATGGGATTAAAGGACGCGCCCTATCACGTCAAGATTGTTAACCACATCGCTGACCAGTAATTATGCTACTTTTATCATTTTATTTTGAATTTTATTAGTTGTATCAATAGTCTGATTATTATTAATGAATTACAAATCACGTGTATTAACATCCTATTTACTCTGTTATATAATATATTGATCATTTAACTTACAGTCTACTTCTAAATATAAACTCTCTGTTTAAATATAATTAAGTTTAAAATTACTCAATAATTACAACTATGTTTAAACAGAGAATTTATATAAACAATGGGTGGGAAATGTACTAGACTGAATTGATTTGTGCCAATTCATAAAAACTAATGAATGAAAAACATTATTACCCGACAGTTTCCCGACCCCGATGTTACCCCGATGGGATCTATTCTCCATAATGTGGAGTAAGTGTATCGCCACAGCTATAGTCGGCTACACTATCACACTCTCGGTGTGCAAAATGTATGGCAAAAAACACGGCTATAAGACCGATGCCAACCAAGAGATGGTAGCCATGGGAGNCTATCACACTCTCGGTGTGCAAAATGTATGGCAAAAAACACGGCTATAAGACCGATGCCAACCAAGAGATGGTAGCCATGGGAGCGGCGAATATGATATCGTCGACCTTCCAGTGCATCCCATGCGCCGCTTCTTTACCCCGGAGTGCACTCCAGGAGACGGCCGGCGGTAAGACCCAAGTGGTCAGTATTGTTAACTGCCTGTGCATTATTGTCGTCATACTAGCGCTCGGCAAGTATTTGGAGGAATTGCCAACAGTTAGTATATTTAGTGTTAGATTTTTTAAACTAAAAATTGATCATGGTCTGTTTTATAACTTATATAGTGTGTATTGGGTTCGTGTATAGCCGTAGCGCTGGTCTCGTTGGTCACCAAAGTTGGCGATTTTTGGCGCTTCTGGAAAGTGTCTAAACTGGACGGGGTATACATGAATTGCCAAACCATGTATGTTATTAATTTTTATCATATTGTTTATTTAGGGCATATGGATTGTCACATTTTTGGCAGTACTAGTGATTAGCGTGGATTACGGCTTATATATCGGGCTAATATTGTCGCTATTGTTGTTGATATGGAAATCCGAAAGACCCAAAACCTATTTGTTGGGCACCACTAATGATCTGGATATATACGTACCGATCAATAAATTCAATAATGTTGAAGAGCCCAAGGATTTCAAGATATTTCAAATGTGCGGTCCTTTGAATTTCTCAAATGTTGAATACTTTTCCACTGAATTGGAAAATAAAT